GCGATGGTGATAGACTCAAACAGCGGTTTCACCAAGTGTGGGAAAGGTACGGTCCCGCCACCGTCCTGTGCACGTTTTCTCTGCACGAATTAACGACGTACATACTTAAAGAATCAATCGTCGCTACTATCTGCATGCCTCCCAGTTTTACTCTTTGGGGTGTACATTGCATACGCAGAGAGTAGGACAGAGTTGTAAGTGATGCAGAGTAAGCAAACCATGATTCTCACATAAACACAGACTTCCTGTAGCTATTCACCGTTGCAATGATAAGCAAATCCGGAGATGGATGAAGCAGCGGTGGTAGCAGCAGCATGGAAGTGATTTGAACTGCTGCTTCACCAGGATATAACCGAAGTGATCAATACAATAGCTAACAAGAGGAAAAGAAGAGAAGTGTCCAATGTGAAACCTTACCATAGCAAGTAGATAGCTAGGACTAAGGTGCCTATGCACTGTGAGCACTACACGGTGGAAAACAGTTAGTTAACGTGTGGAGAAGAGGCGAGCATAAACAAGACAACTGAGTAGTCCTCACTACCCCCACGCTATAATCAACCTGGATTCGCAGATCTATCAGCACCACACGAAACCAAACACAGACAATTCCACTGGTAAGTAACAGTAAACCGGCCGCTGGTGGTGTGCTAGGAAATTTCGAGTTATGTACACCACTCCATTTAGTGGCCAGTGAGTTCATTTGACTCATCCAGGTAACCGAACACCCGCATCGAACCATATGCCATCCTACCCTCTTGTAGAGAAACAGAACGAAGACTTGCTCGATAAACGGTGACAGAGTATATGTATCACACGCCCAAGTCAACTAGACACCTATTCAGTTTTATCTGTCCATACAAAAAAACAAATTGATCACCATCGGTGAGCATTCGGTTTAATGGCAAATTGGCTCCAACCGAGATGGTCAAGACTGTGAAGGTAATGAGAATTAGTTGCAGATGCTTTAGGTTTGCAGATGGAATGGGCATCACTATGTATTTGTAGGGTTAAAACCAAGAGAAAATACGTTTTAGCACTACAGATGTTGTAGAATCATAAAATTTGCACTGGACTTTGCAACAGGCAGACTGAAGTCACATGTCCGTGGTTGTCAAGGTAGACGGATGGAGTAGCAATTTCCATTTTGTTCTCAAAGAGACACGAATCAGCAAGTGGTCCAGGTTACCAGAAGTCGCGTGTTCCTACGAAAGTACACCAGTGTGACACCCATGCAACAATCACCAACGACCTAGTGTACATCTTTAGCGAATGAAACTCATGATTCGGGCGGTTCGATTAGTTGTGTCATAAACTCTGGGGTGGGTAGCCCTGTGTTCAATTAAGTTTTGGGTCAGTAAAAGCATACATTGGAAAGGCAATCCACTTATTCAGAGTTCGCAGATAAGTCGTGGAGTATGGCTTCCATCTGGAACCATCCCTCGCTTGTGGAGTTACACTGTTTGGACGGTGACCATCGTTATCCATCAAGTGTGTAGGATTCGTTGTGCCGACCGCTCAACATTCGTACTCTGTACTAGATGCTCTGAACATGAAGAGAAGATGTAATCTGTCAGTTGATTCGTCCGAACACAGAGATTTCACAGATCTGTAACAGTACCACCTTGTGCTCTGAAAGCGCAAAACCTGTGCCAAATGATGATGGGATCGTTCCGGGTGGTTCATCCATAATTGACTACACCACGAAGAATTAAGACGACGTTCTCCGTATAAAGCAAAACATCCACCTCTATGATTGCATCAGAAGATTGTAAAAAGGAATAAAGAAGTAATAAAGTCAAATGTTTCTAAGGCGACAACTCAAGGGACCGACAAAAAGTGGTCACCTTGGACAGGTGGCCGCCATGGACGGGTTCATGAATAGGGACATAAATTATAAAAGAAAATATTGGGGATGTCTTTGGCTGGTCGCCATAAACAGGTAGCAGCCACAGCATGTTAAACTGTATGATAAGCGATGACGCACAAAAAGTGTAATGTCGCGCATCCCTTAAAACCAATACACAGACCTAAGCAAGGATGGAGGGGAACAGAAAGGTAATGGTAGTGGTTTGTGTGGGAGTGCAGCCTCTTGAATGAAAGTTCAATAAAGAGCCAATGCGGTGATATGTCACAAAGTGAGCACAATCCTAACGGATGAAGTGGAGATATGCACAGCAGTGGTAGTGGAAAGCACCGTGCACCTGCCACACTCTTGTGGGAAGCCGCAGCCAATCGGACAAAATGATTGTTGCTGTAGTCCTCCTGTCGCACAGTGCTTTTCGTGGAGTACGGCATGACTATGCAACTAAAGCTCTATCATTGACTGCAGCAGACAGATTGGTCCAATAGACAAACATCACCGGTTCAAATTTGTGCAGGTGCAGGAGACTTCCCAGTATACTTGGCCTACGCACGACCTGGGTTGGTTGCGTGGCAGGGAAACGTTTGCACGGTGTGTCGGCGCATTGCTGATGCCTAGTTTAGTTGATCGGTGCGAGTATAATAGTGTGTCCGGTCGGGCAAGACGGCTCAGATGTATACGAACCGCAATGAAAAGTCTATCTACTGAAAAAATTATAGTAGTGATATTTCAAACCAAACATATCCCACTTTAAGTCGCTGAAGGACGAAAGGGGTTAAAAAGCGAGAAAGGCCGCAGTTATAAAAGGAGAGAAAAACAATACAGACCGACGGGATTATTCGGGAGACGTTAGCAACACGGACGAATAGATAAATGGACAAATCCGATAAGGGAGGCGAGAAAGTGCTTGCGTAGTCACATGCGTCCAAAATTGGTTTTAACCAAAGATGGTAACGTCAACGATAAGATATCGTCGACAAAAGCACACGCGTAATGGACTTATAGTTAATCAACATTCGCTAAGCGGAGAAACAACGAGCATCCATGGAATTAAGACGAAGGAAAACATAAAAGTTAAGAATTTTACGATCAAGTCCGGTCAAACGGCCGTCAGATTCAGTAAAGTATTAGAGCACTGTTTCATCATTTCGAGGAACGTCGGTAGTGCGCATTCTATCTGTTAAGGTGAGGCTTGAACCTTCGAACATACTCTCTGAGATTCCCGAAAAGGTGAAATGACCGCATTGTGTTTCCCCGGACGTGTACCCTACGTATGATCGAATCGCGGAGGTCAACCGGTGACTTCGTCCACTGCAGTTGAGCGCTGTCACTCTACTGCAAGTGCTGTGTCGAAAATTAGTGCTTGCGAGAAACAGACGAGCTTCTTCACACAATTTCAGCAACCGTTCAGCGTTATCATTACGAGAGATAACACCATATCGAAAGGCCAGCTGCAGTTCATCAGTGGACAGTTTCCAACCTAGGCGTTTAGATAGCCGGCCAACACCACAGTATCCGTACTTTTATTGCAACGAACGACCACGTTCAGTTGGTGATATAATGTATGTATCGCCGAATGCGCGCTACAAGTTGTGGGGGCGTAGGCTGCAATGACAAACAGACACGGTTAATCCCCGCACCACCTTGAAGCTTTGGACGAGTCAGCCAATCTAACGGCGCACATCCGGCTGTTTATTGGGATCCAGTCAACCAAGGGCAGCGTCAACCTGGGGAGCCAGAGTAATGTCCACAACGACTTGACCAGTATTTGAAGGAGCGTTATCTCCAAGCAAACGCAATGAGAACGTGCCGCCAGTGTTGCTTGTTGGTGCTCGTAGGTTAAACACGGAACTCGCATCCTGCAAGCGGGTATGTAATAAGCAGCACACATCGATCGATAGAGTCTCAAGTATTCGGGCAAGTGCTGCTTGTTGGCCAATCTGTAACAAAGTGCGCACATTGAGGCATGCCAGTCTTAACTAGGGTCCGGGTCTTCAAGGAGAAATGGATGAACAGACATTGTCCGCTTGGTTGAACGTGTACCTGTTGACTGGACTAGAGAGGCGTGCTGCGATTGCGTGTGAGTCGAAACTAGAAGATAAGCAACCATTTAAGCAAGATGAGGGAGAGTCAAGTATTTGGGGATTGAAAACATGGGGGATAAAAGTTAAGTTAGAGTGGGATGATAATGACGAAAGAACGAAGGAAATAAGACTGGAGGACTTGAGCAGTAGCATCTTTACGCCTATCCACCTTGCTCGGTACAGCAGATAGGGTGCGGTTTATTGTCCTCTGCGACGGCCAGAGAATCAAGAAATGATGTGGAGAGAAGTTCGCAGAATTGTCTTGAAGGGTGTTATAGTAGAAAATCCCAGTATCGCAGAAGGAAGCTTATTAAAACTATGGACTACACGATTCCCAAAGAATTTGGCACAAATATCCAGGCTGGACCATTTATGTTTAAATTTAAGATCAGACGCCTGCAGATGGTCAGATGCAGCTAGTTCAAACAGATCGGTGGGTTTAATCAGACGCTGGATTCAACATGCAGTCGAGAAGAATGGCGTGGAGACGCGGTAAAGGGATATGACTAATGTTTTGGAGTATTAAGAAACTTCTGACTGTAAATACACCATTTGCACCCATAATGATGTGTTCTGACGAAATTGCGCTAACGTACTGTAAGCGATGCAACAAGAGGAGTCAGGAGAAAAGAAATTGAAAGGCAGTGTGTTGGGGAAAACAGGAAGAAGGGCATACGGGAAGTGCTACATAAACCTTTTCCGACAGTTCGGTGGCAGTTTAAAACATGTTCACTCCGGACTTTTGGGGACTGTCAGCGGACTTTCGTGTCAGTAGGACAATGGGTTTTAGCGACAAAGGCATACATTCCCGTATACCAAATACACTCCGACATCGGGCAGAAATCAGACACTCGGTCGTCTAACGGTACTACCAGATTTTGCGGGGACGAAAGGACAAAAATAGCGAAAAGCATTGGAGTTAATTTTGGACACGTGTCCATGTATGAACACAATTACTATAAGACAAAGCGCTAGGATTAAAGATAAGTAGAAAATTACTGTAAATCCGCTACGACTGAGAGCTGGCGACTCTATGATGAGTAAGTGGAACTAACCAACATTCCAATCCGTGGTTTAAATGGATTGGTAAGTTGCTTTCTGTATTCCGCCTTCATAGCCTCTCTAAATTTCGCTCTCTCTTTGATGGCTGCCTGCTCCTCTGGGCTCTCGTAGTAGGTTTTCCAAGGGTTAAATGGAGAAGTGGTGGACATCCCGAGAGCAGGACAATGAACAAATTCTATCACGCCCTGTTTCACGATATGTCAATGCAATATCCGTCCGGTTCGGAATTCCAGATTCTTCCCTTGCCGACAAGCAGAGTATGGTGCAGTGAATGATCTGATGACCTGCAATGGAAAACAAAGAGAACGTAGATGGGAAATCAAACCCCAACCACCTAGTAAGAACGAATATCGATGGATAACGCATCGAGACGACAACAGGATATGGTCAAATAACCGCGAGGCAACCGGAGCGGAGGATGAATGGTCCGATGCGATTAGAGACTCATGGTGCGTCGACAGCAGCAAAGTATCTGAGGGCAGAAGCAACTTACGGTCAGTCTTTATCAGATGTGGTATCTCGTCAGTTGATGAGAAGACGGACGCTCGATAAACCAGTAAACAGTTGAGCAAAGCCGTGTCCCATTCCCAAGGAGTTTAAGTAGTCAAAAAAGCCGGTAATAACGTCTCCTGACCGTTCAGATTGGGGGATGAAGTTAGGATGGTTTCTTACTACATAAAACTGAGTCTCTATAACTCAGTACAAAAACCCCGCTGCCATGCGGTAAGGTTTTTGAACTAAAGACTTTTGTTGAGAACCCCAATCGTTCTCCTGTCTAGGCATGAGTAATCTGACAGTATCCTGCCTACACAACACAATGACTTTCCAAGTAAACAATAACACGATACTTTGGCCGTCGCAGAGAATAAAAACGGCGTCCTAGCTGTTGCATCGAGCAGGGTGGACAGGGGTAAGGAGTATACTGCTCAAGTCTTCCCATATTCTTGTTCTTCTTTCTGCGCTCTTTCATCAGCATCATCCGCTGCAACTTCACCTTTAGCTCCCAGTTTTCAATCCCCAATTCCTGGCCCACTCCGACTTGCTTCAAAAATCACTTATCTTCTAGTTTCAACTCACCCATAATCGTAGGCCGCCTCTCCAATACAGTCGGTAAGTCCATGGTCAACCAAGCAGGCAACGTCAGTTCACCTGTTTCCCTTTGGAATCCTCGATCCCTGTTAAAACTGGCATGCCTCAATGTGCGCACATCGGTACAGATTGGCCAACAGTCAGTACTTGCCCGAACACCAGAGACCATATCTATCGATACTTGCTGCTTATCGGAAACCCGCCTGCAAGATCCGAGCTCCGTACTTACTCTGCGATCCCGCACATGCAACACTGACGGCACACTCCCATTGCGCCCGTCTGGGGATGACACAGCTTCAAATGCCGATCAAACAGGCGTGGGCGTTATTTTGACTCAAAGGGCTGAAGTTGCTCTGATGGATTAGGTTCCAGTCAACAGCCTGATGTGCGACGTTAGATTGAGTGACTCGTCCAAAGCTTTGAAGTCGCGCGGGAACAAGCAGTTCGTTTGTCATTGCAGCCTACGCACCCAAACAGTAGTGCTGATTTGGTGTAAGATGATTTCTATCACCAACTTAACGACCATTTCAGTTACAGAAAAAGTACGGAGATTGTGGTGTTGGCCAGCGATCTAAACGCCTAATCGGAAAATTTTGCTCTGATGAGCGTCATCTGATCGGCCGATTTGGCGTAACCTCTAGTAGTAACAGTGAGTGGTTCCTATACCTGTGTGAATACGCTCACGCTTTTTCGAAAGAACTAATTTTCGACACGGTACTCAGAAGACTGACTGGGCGTCCACCAGCCTTGGACCAGCCATGGACGAATATCGATCACATTGCGAACGGTTATCCCTGGAGGTAGCGTACAAAAGTATCGTTTGATTTGGAGCACCAGGGTGGACTCCGAGCACGCTTTTGTGTGTGTCAACCTCCGAGTGGGTTTCCTTGGAGGTCCGCTATTTCGCTATGCGCGAATAGACACCAGCCAACTGGCGAAGTCAGGCGGTTTGAATGCGTATCAAAGTACACTGGCATCCGGCTGAGTAAGTGCCCATTGCACAGGATTGAATATCACTGGTTACATATTCGCCAAACGTCTGTATTAGCAAGCAGGTCTTCATGTGGCGAATCAAATTGCTATCCTAAACATTAGGTCTATACAGTCTCTGGAGCATATGGATGCTCGCCAACATATTCCGGCTGGAAGCGAACATAATGAAACTAGCAAATATCTCGGTAAAACTGCGTACTATCCTACAGGAAGACCAAGAAGCCTGGTGATCTCATCGTGGCGTTGGTAAACATCGTAAGTTATTACGTCTGATACGGGGAACCATACGCGACGAGAGAGGACAGCCGATTCACAGCTCGTCAAAACGCTTGGAGCGTTCGGCCGAACACTTCAAGATGCAGAGCTGCCGGCTCCTCCACCGGCCGATGATCACCCGATTCCCTGGATCCGCTCTCACGCACAGAAATCGAATGTGATATTAGGCTGTTGAAATGGAATAACGCAGCAGGGGTAGATAGAATTCCTCCAGCCCTCTTCAAATTCGGCGGACCTGCTATTGTAGATGATCTACACGAGTTGGTAGTGGAACTTAGGAGTAGGAAACTGTCCCGACAGACTGGAGCCGCTCCAACATAGTCTCGAATTTCAAGGGAGGCTCTCCCTCGGAATGCGGCAATCATTGAGGAACCAGTCTGATTTCAATCGCCTCTAAATTACTTGCGTCGGTCATTCAGCACAGACTGACTGGAACTCGTGAAAGCCAGATTCGTGATGAGCAAGCCGAGTTTCGTCGAAATCGAGACTGCAACGATCACATCTTTACTTTATGTGAATTGTTTGAGCAACACCAGATTTATTGGTAAGCCTGTTTCCCAACATGAAATACGCCTTTGATTTGGCAGATCGATGTGCCCTTTGGGACTCCCTACTTAAGAAGAGCGCGCCCGAATTGTACTTAAACATTATCAGAGCATTTTACGCATATAATTGGGGCAGAGTGAGGGTTTATGGCAAAATTTCGCCGCCCTTCAGTATATCTCGCGGTGCCAGAAAAGGTTGCCCGAGGTCAAGTTTGCCCTATAACTTCGCCATTGACGAATTCAGGGAAAAATAGTTCGCTGGACACAACTTACAAGGTCTGGAGTAGCTTCTTGGAAAGAGGCTTCTTGACTTGGAGTTAGGTGATGAAATTTCCTTCATATGTGACAGCACCTAAACATGCCTAGAAAGAATGCACAGGTTAGCACTGACTGTCAATAGTTGTAGGCTATGCTTTACTCTCTCAAAATGCAAAGGCGTTCTCTAACATTGGCAGGGATCTGCACCGGCGCTGATCGTCGGTGGCGGTCAGCTAGAAGTACAGGAATGCAAGTACCTGGGCAGCTATATTAGCGCACGTAAGATTGAGGATGAGGTCGCGAAACGTATAGCAAAAGCTGAGGTGATTTGTTAATCTCCGCCATCTGTGGTGCCGATGCGACATCACGCGCGCCCAGAACGGCAGAGGTTACAATGCAGCCGTTCGTTCGACCCTACTGCATGGTTGTGAAACCTGGACCTTGAGGTTGATAGACATAAAGACGCCAGCTACCGACCATCGTTGCGTCCACAGATTAGCTTTTGCCTAATGGGAGCAGTGGGTGAGCAATAAATGTGTTCGGCGTCGTGTAGTTGGCACAGGAAGGAGTGATCCGCTCAGCCCCATTATATTGCGCAACAGGCTCCAATGACTAGGCCGTGTCGCGCATACCAGCTCACCGACTCATGCGAGGTACGTTGTTTTCACGCAAGGGGTTTGGATAGAAAAGAAGGCTAAGCAATGACTTGGTAAAGAGGAATGAAAACCCTCATTTCGAAGTTGGCGACGGTTGGCGAATTCTGGCTGCCGGAATGAGGTCCGTAGAACGAGGAACATGTTTGGTTGGATACATCCACAAGACTAGGAACCGGCCCATTGGAGTTCGTGTTGTGAGTTTCATTGTCCGCCCCCGTTTTGCCATGACTCCCTCATGACGATCTGGCCATCAACTCTCCTTCAGATTTCCTCTCCAAGCACGATCTCATATCAAATGAACAATATGATATAAGGTTGTATTAGTTCATTCTTTGAATTTTTATAGTATAGTGTCTAGCATTTTATCCTGTTATATTGTGGCACATTGGCTGATGCGTGTTTCTCACTCTCAGCTAACGTGTGCTGATGATGATGCAATAACGTGTCTACAGGGTATAGATGGTGCGCTCAACTAGTCCGTTTCCCTCTGGATGGTAATCATCATCATATATCATTATATACGTAAGCTAGAGGTGGAAAACACCTCAGCTATTGTGCCGCAGGGTGGTAGGCAGTCGTGCGTGTCTTCCGAATGCAGAGAACTTGACACAACTAGCACACAAGCGTGCTCTCGATGTTGGCTCCGCGGTCTGAGTGCAACTGATAGGCTGATCCCAACTTGCCACCTAACAGCTGAAGAAAGCTACTGCCACATTCCATGCGTCTGCATTTTAAGGGGCGGCTGCTTCACACAATATGGTAGTATTCCACCATAACAAGAAAGTAACAATGTCCTCCAGCAGTCTCTGGCACTGGACCGATGATGTCAATACGCACGATAACGTTTGAAAGGCCGGCCGTCAGCGGATCACAACGAATGGTTGTGGGATTTTTGATCCTTGCACAATCAACGCACGGCGCAATACATATCGATTAGATGGATCCACCGGAAACGACAGCCTCTATTTTATTCTGTCCAGCGTTCCTAACATTTCGTGGATCCTTTGCATCACTTCCTGCATTGCAGAAGTTGACAAAACAATTCTCCGTAAATATGCCGCTCCACTTTGGAAATACATGACACCATCGACCACCCGTAAATGCGGCCAGTGACCATAGGCATTCGGTTGCCAACTGCCCCAGCGGCTCCTGATGCGTCAGTCGGTCTTGATCCCGGACGATGCGATTATACAGAAAGCTCAGCTCCAAGTCCGTCGACTGCATTGAATCCATCTTTCTATTTCCAGTGCGTCCAGGATGACGGCAATTACACCAGTAGCGGTGCAAGACAGGTATGGTCCACGATCCCTGATGGGCCTTCGGGATAAGGCGTCAGCATTCCCATGCTTCGTGCTTGGACAATGTTGGCAAAAAAATCGTATGCCTGCAATTGTTACGGCCAACGGGCGTTCCCTCGGGGTTCCGAAAGTCTAGAAGCCAGATCAATGATCGGTGGTGAGTACGCGCAATGA